TCAGAGTGTGGAAATGATGGGCGATGCCCATGAGCTCAGCCGCCCTGGCAAACACCACCGTCATCGCAGGCGGAGAGATGCCAGGCGGCGGGCGTTGGGGCCCTGCCTTGCGCCCTGGCTGCCGGCCCGGATGCACCGTGCATGGGGCGGGCTCCGCGGTTTCCAGGCGGGGCTCCTCCTAGACCAGTGATGGCGAACCTATGAACGCGTGTTGCCTTTACACAAACCTAAACATAAATCTGACCTCTTAGGCCAGTGATGGCGAACCTATGACACGCATGTCAGAGGTGACACCCGAACTCATTTTGTTTGGTTGATTTTTCTTTGTTAAATGGCATTTAAATAGATAAAATAAATATCAAAAATATAAGTCTTTCTTTTACTGTGGTTGCAAATATCAAAAAATTTCTATGTGTGACACGGCACCAGAGTTCAGTTAGGGTTTTTCAAAATGCTGACACGCCGGGCTCAAAAGGTTCGCCATCACTGGCCTAGGTCCAGGCCGACGGAGCGTTAGTGGGACAGACGGCGCCTGTGAGCCGTCCTCGCTGCCTGAGCCCGTGTGGCACATGGGCCCCTGTGAGGCTGGGGCTTTACTCCGATGCGTCCAGGAGGCCCATGGGGGGCGTCGCAGCAGGACTGGCAGTGGGTGCGGACGGGCCATCCGGCCACGAGCTCAGCAGACGGAGCAGCGGCTCCTCATGGCAGGTGCTGCCCAGGGGCACAGCCAGGCGGGGACGCAGGTGCTGATGGCCCAGGGCAGGCGCCGGGCACATCAGGACTAAGGCACCGGGAGGGCCTGGCTCAGGGGCTGAGCGTCGACCTACGGACCAGGAGGTCAGGGTTCGAGTCCCGTCAGGCACATGCGCAGGGTGTGGACTCGATCCCCAGTGGGGGGTGTGCAGGAGGCAGCCCATCCATGATTCTCTCTCATCATTGATGTTTCTCTCTCCCTCTCCCTCTCTGACATCAAAAATAAGAAAAAAGAAAAGAAACAGTTTGGT